CATTTGTCTCATCTTTGTCTCAAAATGCCACCAGAGGATGAGAAAGGCCTGAGTTTTTATGCATGTGTCATTACTGAGGGTGTTGTGTCTGTGTCAGGGGAAGGACCAGAAACTCCAGCTCCTGCCCTTGCTTTAAGTGCAGTACAGCACAGGATAGGTGCTGGCACCCAGGACTGGATAGTTCTGTGTGCTTCCTGCACCACAAAAAGCTGCCTGTCAGCAGGCGTGTGCCGGAAACACAAACAAAAAGGGTTTTCAGGCAGCATTCACTGCACCTCAAGCTGTGACCCCATTTCTGCTTTACAGTAAAAACTGTGGGAGGTGAGCAGGGACTAGAAGATGTTGGAGAGGAAGTGTGGGCCTGCCCTGCGGGGCTGTGTGGGGGTGCTGAGCACCAGGTGGAGCTCGGGGATATAATCCCAGCCAGCAGGAGGGCACCGGACCGCCTGACCCACCCACATTCCTTATGACCCCAGTGCCTCGGGGGATCAGATCTCCATCACACCTGTGACACCATTGTTACTAGAGTTGTCTTTAGTGCCTGTAGGCGAGCAGGAGGTGGCTGGAAGGGGTGAAAATCTGCAGCATTGTTTCCTTGCTYGTGTCTCTCCCCTTTGTTTTCTAAGCTTCCTTCACATGCTGTCTGAGTGGCATAGCTTGTAGTATACTGAAAGCCTGATAATAAGACAGATGACATCTGTTTAGGTCACATATTAGAAAGGATTAATGCTTCCAAAGACTTACAAGCTACAGCTTAGTACTCTGCTATCTGAACACATTGGCCCTGGCACATGTGATGGCTGTCAKCTCAAGGCTCAGCGCTTCTACAGCTCGAGAAAGCTGGAAGCTGGACATCCRAGTGACCATGGCAAAGGATATGCATCATTCCCTTCACTGATGCTGTAAAATCCACCAGCAGCTGTGTGCCAAGTCTAGTGAAAGGGCTCCAGGAGAAACAAACAACTGCACAGCACTTTTGCCCGTGATTTTGCCCATGACAGGGGTGCTGCCCCTCAGAARATGGCCACGCTCATTCCAGCTGGCAGAGGTGAGAAGGGAGCACAACCATTTTTCTACTGGGCAGAACTTCTGTCTGCAAGTTGCTCTCTGRGCAAGAAAAGGAACAAAATTCTCACTAATCCACATCACCCACAAAGCTTACCCATCTCTTTCCATTTAAAACCACATGGCTCTGTAGAATTACCCTGCAGATGGGCAGGGAAGTGGGATGATGCAGACTGTAGCATCAGCAGAAAGCACCACARCTCCCTCCCTCAGCAGGCATGAGGGGCTTGCAGGASACASTGCTTGTGAACAGGCAGTACTTGCAGATACGAGCAGCCCAGGACTCTGCACACAGGCTCACAGGCATTCAATTCCCCTGTTTTGCAGAGGGGCAGCTGGATCTTGTGGCCTGAGTAAATAGCAAGGCTTTGGAAGGAAACTGAATAGGCATGTTATATTCTTCATTTCAGATCCAGTTCTGAATGGAGGGAAAAGAAATAACATTTAGAAATCAATCCTAGACCCCTAAAGTCCCCTGAAAGGGAAAGACACAAAATGACTGATGCAGCAAGTTCCACTGAGTTTTTTAACTGGTACTGTGAGAGCTGATTAGAATTATTTCTTTTCAACTAATAAACCCACATGCTGCCTCTTCCTCTCTTGTCAAYTAACAGTATTACTTAGCACTAATAAACTGCTTTATTTTCAAGGGGCTTAAGAAGACAATCACCTCAACATGTCTGAAAGGAACAGATGGCAATTTCACACTTGGAAAAGCTCCTCAGAGAGGGGGCAGTAGCAGTGTCTGGGGGACACCTAGCTCTGTTCCCTGTGTGGACTGGGGGTCCCCTTGATGTCCTCTCCACTCAAAGCTTCTGCTTTAACCTAACCTGACCACACATTACTTCTCCAGCAAAGCTACACTGKTTTTTTTATTCAATCTTTAATAGTGAGTAACATCCTTCTAGAAGGCCTCTTACCTCAGCACATCTCCRGACAGGTCGTTACTGCTTTGGATTTAAAAGACTATCCAATAATGCAATTAGTCCAGCCCTTCATTATTCTTACTGGCTAGAAGCAGAGTAGTGATCAGGAAGAAATACGTTGCCCTGTCCATACAGTGAAGATGCTCTTTTCCCCTGCAACATCGTGGTTACATTTTGGTACAGAACAGCTCATGCTTTTTCCTCCTCCCACTCGAGTCTTTTTCAGAGAACTGTGGAAAGTGTTGCTCTGTGGTGCCTTTTGGCTCAGCTGTACAACACAAACTTTCTTAAGCTACTTCTGGAAGGAAGATAGGCTTTCTTTAGGACAGGGGTTCCTACAGCAAAACATGTTCAGGTGAGGACCAAACAAACAAATACAATGATTTTAAAAGCAACTGATGTGACAATGACTAAGCAATTGTTTAATGTGTTGTTTTGGGTTTTTTAGTGGACTGGTTTAACTGTAGAAGGTTTTTATTTAAAGATTGAGATAATACCCTCTATTTCAGTATTTAACCCCACAGTCAAAGTTTATTTCAAATTGAAAATGTAATGATGATAGTCAAATAGTGTCAAGTGTTTGACAGGTTTTGGCCTCTCCTCTAGGAATGGTAACAGTAAATACTAATTCAGAATGAAATGAATTATTCTAATACTTTTCAGAACTATTTCAACAGCATACTGATATTAGTATAAATTCCCTTCAATCTGTGCTGAGCCACTGAGCTAAGCATCTCAGCCCATTATCAATCACAACCATCAAGTATCACTTACAATTAAATCCTTCTAGAGACATTGGTTAGTATCTAGGGACATCATAACATCCCCAAAATACTGCATTACCTGTTTTTTCCCCCTTGTGTTAAGGGAAAGAAGGTGCATTGAGGCAAAAGGGTTAAGCMCCCAGTATGCCAGTGCATCCCTCCCTGAGGATTCCTAGGAAAGGCACCCCCAATCTGCTCAGCTCTAACTGGTACCTGAGCATTCAGGCTGGAGAGCAGAGGCAGCACGATGCAATGCAAACTCATTTTCAAATGGGCTTGAGAAAATAATAACACCCTAATTTCACTCTAGCTTGACAAGCACCTGTGTTCAGCATTGAGCCACTCAGTTATAAATCTAGTATGAGTTCTCCTGCGACTTTATTTGTATTTACAAGTAAAATGTAGTGGATTTGGATTTTCCTAAGTCAGAAAACATCAAAAACCAGTCAGAGTTCTTATATTTAGAAGAGTAACACTTGAACAGAGGATACTTAATATACAAAATGGCTGCATTCAAATTTTGTTAAAAATTAAACCCAAATGCAAAGTGAATCCAAATAGCCCCTCTTTTAAGGCTTCAATTGTACAAGTGATTATGCTGAAGATTCACAATGCCTGTAATGAGTGAGCATCTGTTTTTCTGGACTTGAAAATCATGGGTGTCCTTTCCCTTTACTTAAAAGTTATTTTTCTCATCCAGGGATGATAATCAGTGTTTAGGACCATAGTAGCAAGTCATACCAATGCATAAACCATAAATAAGTGACACCAGAACTGTTTGAAAACAAGAGTTGTGTCAGGTTTTATAGCACAACAGCCAAAATATTCAAGGAACRTTGCCATATTGTTCCAGTCCCTTCTGCAAAATCTCTTTCTGACCAGTTTGATACTGGTCCTATTAMTATCAACTTCCTACAGTTAGGGGCTTTATTTTGGAGAGGTGCTTGGAATGGCAGCRGTGGGAAGGAGAATATAGATTATTTCATGTCAAATAGTCTAAAAGTATGGATTACAATGGCCAAGGAATAACGGTACACTTGCTGTTTTCAAGCTTTAGTTTGACTCTTCAAATCTTTAATTCTCCTGCACACCTGAGGACAAGCTAACAGACAACACAAGGTATTGGACCACTATAGTGCTTAACATTTTCAAAGTGTAATGTTTGAAGAAAGGAAAAAAATCAATGTTCAATATTCAGGACCATAAAATAAGCCCATATAGAAACTGCTTAGCTAAACTCTAAATAACAGCAGAATAATTTTATTTAGTTACTCATTACTTCCTTACTCCTATTAAAGCTTCAATAAAAGGAAATTTAACATCCAGTATCATTATCAAAATTTGGATGCTCACAGCTGTAGAGGCATCCTGAGTAAGGCATTATATTCCAGTGGTTTCAGACTTGGTTTGTATAAAACTCATTTCGAGCTGACTCCATTAAAGTCACAAAGTCAGTGAGAGTCAATGAAGCCTCCTGAAGTCAAAGTGAATTTCACAGGAGCCAGCTCTGTTAAATTACACTTTGCCCTGAAGTGAAAATTCGATCTTGAACCACTCTACATTAAATTAATGCCTCACAGGACATTGCAGCTAGCAGGTCTTACATTTAAGGATTTTCTAGATGAAATTTTAAAGCTTTCCTAATCACCAGGGGCTCCYGTTCATACACAAATGTCAGGTGAACTTTATGTAGACAGCCCTTTAACTTACTGGAACAAAAACCAAACCAAACCAAACCAACAAAGAACAACCACACACATTTAGAGTGGGTAATTCCACAGCAGTAAGTTGTCAGACAATCCAAGTTTTTCTTTGAGACAGAAGTGAATGTTTCTCTTCTCTCCTCATTAAAAAACATTGCACATCTCATTTCTCAAAGAATTTTAGACATTGACCAAAGGCGACATAGGACACTGGAAAAAGTACCCTCAGCTTCCTTGACAAACCTATCACTTCAAACAGGCCCTGCACTACGGCTGCATTACACTGTCATAACAGGTTTCTCACTGAAACTTGTTTGCAAAGTTGTTTTTAGAAGAAAATAAATCTTYAAGCTGCCCAAATGACCAAGGCACTCAGAATAACCTTAGAACTGTACTTTGGGGAAGACACAAGGTCTCACTTTCAGCAGATGCTTGACGTCAGACCAGAGAGGGAACACAAGACAGGCAAAGGTTATGTGCAAACTGTGGCTTATGCAACAGCCAAATAACAACTGTTCAGCATAGATGCACATAGAAAGGACTCACTGGAAATTACTTTTAATATAAGCAAACYAAAACTGCTTGTGATTTGCAGGGTATGGTGGTGCCACAGACTAATCTGAACAGCCTCTGTTTCAGGTCTCTAAAACAAGCATTCAGTAAGCAATTCAAATTACATGAGTCATCTTTGGTAATACTGTACATTTGTGTCAATCACTTGGTAAACATAAATTCTGGATATTTAGAGTGTAAATCATCATAACTACAAACTAATTGGAAAGTTGGAGGATTCTCCTCCAATGTACATGAGCTTGCTAAAGGAAAAGTTCAGACTAGCACTGAAATTACTTCATAGTTATGTAGAAAAAAGTTACAATTCTTTGTCATAGAACATTACATTAGTTTGTTATTTTGTCTACAGTTAAAGTGGGCTTGTAGTCAGCATTATGATAAATTAACAGCAAAACAGCTGCCAAAACAATTTAAGGGAGTATGACTGAAAACTAAGAACTTTGATTAAAGCATGATTTCCTAACTTTGTTTTCTAACCCTAAATTATTAAAACACAGAAAAAAAGTCATTATTTCAAAAAGATGCACCATTAAAAAAGAAGTTTCATTTCTTACAATATGGTTTTAAACTAACATAGAGGAAAACAGTGCTACATTAAACACAGTCAAGAGCATTCAGATGGCATTATTTAAGTATAATCTTAYGTTCTCTGTTATATGGTCCAGTCATGGATTTTTCCTTGCTTTAACATATATTTGACGATCACTGAATTTTTCCCACTCATCCTGCTGTAGRCTGTCCACATACACTGTGTTAACACGTAAGAGTCAGCATTTATGTACAATTTAAAAGCAGCACAGCTATCCTAGCCCCTACAGCTGTGCTCACTCCACTGCAGTACTGGAGCGAGCACAACAGCTTGGATATCTTAGGGAATGCATCATTGTCCTGAAAGGCCTTTTTTTCTCTGTTTTTTCAGGGGGTGGCTCCTCATTACTTTTCTCAGGTGTTGCAGCAGGCTCTGTCTGGAATTGTTCTATTTGAAACTCGAGATGTTTTTGAATGGCTACCCCAAGGACTTCCGGATCCACAGAGGCCCCATACACTTCCCACGTCATTCCTTCATCATCCCATCTCACTTCACGTACTGGAGTTTTGGGGCCCTCCAAGTCTTGCTCCAGATTCACCTCTGGGAACACATGTGAGTGACCTTCTGCTGCAGCTGCCGGGCTTGTTGCCACAGATTTGCATTCCATGGTYGGAAGAGTTTGTACCTCGGCATCTCTGCGCTCGAGTGCTGGTTTCAGGCCTTTGGTTATATCATTCATGGAGGTCATAGTCCACATATCCTTAGTTGTCACTACCATGTCTGCACCTTGCTGGCTGCTCAGGGCATCACAGGCAGCCTTGGCTTCTGGAGGAGCTCTCTCCTGCTGAGCATGCTGCACTTGTTCTCCAGAAACATTACAGCACCTCAGGATTTTCTTGGCATCCAGGCCTGTCTCACTTACTGAAGTCACCAGCTTAGGATATGTCAGAATGTCTGAAGCAGAAAAGGAATGAAAGTAGCCAGGTGCTGTCTGCTCTTTCCCTGTCTCACTAACAGAGCACACCAACCGTGGGACAAGCTGTATGGATGGGATGGGCAAAGAGTGGCAATAGGCTGGGATGGTGGCATCTGCCTTCAAGGTGTCCTGCCTGAGACTGCAGGGCCCYGCAGAGTTGTTGTGAACTGTCATCACCATGGGGGAGTACGCAGAATTTGGAACATTACCAAAGGTCAGACCACCATGAATCATCCCGGGGGCCTGACTGAACATTGTCCTGTTCGGGAAACCATTTCCAGGCATGTGAGGTCCTAGAACAGCAGCATGAAAYGTTCCAGGATCTGTGTAAACAGTAGTGTTACGTGGAACACTGCCACTGTCAAAGGTATTTGTGGGTACTTGTTGGTCTCTAGGTAGGACTGGAAGATGAGTGGCAAGGTTTTGATAGTGGGATGTATTTTCACTTGTTTCTGATCCGTGTCTCTGCGTTTGGTGTGACGTCCTATCCACCGGCGGACCATGCCTGCAGCCAGAAGAGCTTAGGCTGGAGTGAGTAGCACTGGTTTCTATGTGAGTGACAAAAGTCTGCTGTTTGCAACTGCAGGTTAGGTCTGAGTGGCTTCTCTGAAGGGCAGGTCCTGATTCTTCCATTTTACATGTGCTTGGCTGGTGAACAAAACAGGCTGAAGAAACATTCTCAACAGTGCTGCTCTTTACACACATCTTAGTGTCGCCCCCTCCCCAGGATGCTGAGGACTGTTCAGTGACAAGAACATGGTTTGCATTCTTAGTTCTGCTCTCTGAATGGTCATTTAGGGTTTGGACCTCTGACCCAAGTCCCATCATCCCAGACTGTGAGGAGGACCACCCGGGGCTCTGCTCACTGCTTGCATCACTCCTGTTTTCCAGGATATGGCAGATGGTGCTACTRTGGCTTTTCTTCAGCTCCTGTTTGTTTTGCCTTTCCTCTAAACTCCTCGAATGCCCAATACAGGACAGATTTGAGGAGCTCTTGGACAGGGGGTGACTGTTGACATTCAAGAGACTGTGACAAGTAGAACTTAGTGAGTCCTGGTAGGAATGGGTGTGGAGCTGGTGGCTGTCAGCTGACATGGCAAAAAAGAGAGATCTGCAAGAAATGGTGGAAAAGAAAAAGATGTCATTTAAGTAGCAAATAAATGTGCTGAAAACTMTAATCTCTACTGACCATCTGCCTGGGCTTCTTGCTTTTCACTGTCCACAAGTACTTTTTAAAAAGCACAGTACTCTAGTCTAAGTGTACTCAGACCAGTCAGTTTCCATTTCACTTTCCACAAAGGGTTTTTTTCTAAATTAGATTAAGAATTTATTGAAATTCTAGTGGGTTTCTTTCCAATTCACCAAATACAAAAGGGAAAAAAAMMCCCTTGATTTCTACCTTTTAACTATAGYAATCTCAATATTACCAAGTGTCATCTCCCCAAATTCACTGGAGCTATTTTTGGGACATTCACAGATGTAACTTAAGAAAAGATGGAAGTATTTTCAAATTGGATAGCTTTTTACCATGGTGCTCATTAAGCCAATGATATTAAATGTATTAGCAAAACAAAAAAAAACTGTTAAGTTTTTTAATCTACATCATCTCAGAAGTTATCCAGTTACTGAAGGAGCTTTGAAACTTTAAAGCCTCAACAATTGAACAAATTCTCTGTTTTCCCTATACCCTTCCTAACAAGGGATATTTCATGTCACAAGATCACTGTTTTAGTCAACTGTTTTCCCAGAGCCCACATAAGTGTACAGTAGGTATGGACAAAGCTGTTTTGATCCCCTATGGCAGAGATGACACAAAATCCAAAGAAACCTCTGCCAGGCCAGTGTGGGGTCACTGCCAGTGTTCCCAGAACAAGAATGCTGTGTAGCACTCCAGCTYGTGCTCACCACTGGCACCACAGGAGGTGGCTGCTGGAGGGAAAGGCCAGAGGTGAAATTCCCCTCTCTCTGTAAGGAGAGTCTGTAACTCAGCACTGCCTCYGTTAAGAGAGCATGGTCTAGTTTCTCGGGCTGCTCACCTTTGGGAATCCACAAGTTCATGCTGGCTGTGGAAAGTGCCAGAGGCAGGGTAAAGACAAAATGAGAAAAACTTTCACCTAAGTYCTGCAGTTCTGTCCTTTTTTTAAGTGGACCCAGTCACTTCTATTTTTAGGAACCCCTTGTTTCTACTGGTTGGTGCATATCCTGTACATTAACATTTATTCTAGCAGTTTCACATCTAGGAGAAGTTGGGATCGAAGATTTTGAATCTCACCAGATTTAGCGATCCATTTGTGCTGATTGAATCAAATCTTCCACTAATTGACTACACGTATTCCTTTGATGTCACAGAGGTGTTGCAACATTTGTGCAATTAAAGTTATTTTAATATGTTCACATATCTATATCTATATCTATCTACACACATACATATATTTCTTTTCTACAAGAACTCATTGAGTTGAACAGAAAAAATCCAGAGTATTAGTGCATTGTTTCCAGGCCGAGTATTAGTGAATATTTGGTTGTGCAGATRTAGAGTGACAGCTACAATTTCTAATTTCAGACAACTTTTCCTCAGATACACTCTGTGCACTGTGCCTCCTTGGCAGGTCTCYTACAGAAACCTGCACAATTTCTTGTGCACTATATCACTAAAATGAAAATGAATACGTGGAACAAGAAAGGTATATACACATGGTGAACAAAAGCACTCTGCAAACATGACAAGGAAGTTCGCTCAAAGCATCAAGAACGTGGTGGCTGCAAAGGCTCACATTCAACCCTCCCTGTGAGAAGCTTCTCATATGCAAYACTTTTAATGGGATATTTACAGGCTCCAAGAGTCACGTACCAACATAACTGATAAGAGCRTGCACAGCTGATACAGGCAGTTATCAGTGCTTGCAATTCCATTTCTGTTGTTAACTTTGGCAGGCTAACAGGTTGCAATTTTCCCATCACCTGAAATCCAGTAGTGTTGGCTGTTGGCTGAAATTAAACTGAGCAGGACAACATAAAAAAAYAGTAATATTTGCAATCACATCCTTAGGAAACTTCTCACTGTGGGCTGTGTACAAGAGACTTGTGACCATCAGCAATATCCTGTAGCTTAGGCTTTGCTCAGATTTGGACTATATGCAGAGAAAAGGCCATTTCCCATCCTTCATACATGTTAGGTCTCCTGCAGCCACTTCCACACGTGAGTAGTTTGCCACACTGAGTTCAAAGGAGTCAAGAGGATTAAACACCAGAGCAATGGCTGTCCACAAGGTGAAAAYCTTACATTTAATCTCTTTAAAAGGTAACACCTGCAAAGGCTCTCACACACACCTGGGTGAAACAGAAACAACGCTTACTAATGGAAATCCTCAGACACAAATACTGAGACTCAGCTGAAAGGAAACTTCAAGCATATCCTATTACAAACGATACAAGGCCGTGGGAAGTTTGAAGGGCTCTCTTAAAAAGTTTACAAAGTTCAAATGTGTACATACACACAGAAAGCAAGGCCTCTATTTGCTTTCTTTATGTAGCAATGGACCTTCCTGCAGAAACCTCTGTAGCTGAAAGAAGTGATGCAATTTCAAACTGATTCATGACCTCACACAAAACACATTCAGATGGATCAAACAGTCCAAATATAGTGATAGCACTGAAAGAAACATCCAGGGTGATGCTGGCAATGAAACCTGCACAAGGAACCCTAAAGAAATTTAATTTTGCCCCACTGCAGATGACATCATGGCCAAACATGAGCCAATGTGACATATATTACATCTGTACATTTATAATATTCTAACCAACAACTACCAACAGCATTTGAATGTTACTGCCCAGACACACCAGTGTTCCATGCTAACACAAGTGTAACAATTCTCCTTTGGCTTTGGGCCTGATTTTGTGGGTACATAGGCACCCAAACCAACTTTCTTTGTGAATGCTGGAGAGGAAAGACTGCTTGGCTTAACCTTAATTTTTAAAATGTAAAAAGATAATATACAAGAAAGGAATTTTGCTCAGAAATTGATTTGCTCAGAAAGATTTTGATTTGAAATTTCAAAGGAAATCCACACCTGAACACACAAACAAGAAAGCATGAACTTTTGAGGCAGATACTCTCCTATGAATACACAGAAAATGGTTAGACAAGCAGAGAAAGGATTAGGATAGAAATGGAATTAACATCCACTATTTTTGGCTTAGCTTCAGATAGCTTATGAGGGGATCTAGACTGCTTTCACTAATTCCACAGGACTACTTTAAAGCAACAAATGTGTATTTTGCTATGACTTATGATTAAAGTTTTGACCTATTTAATGCACCAGTAAATTTAGTCTTAAAATATTAAATATAAAGTATGCTATCAGTAGAAAGACATTCACTGTGAATTAACTATGATTCTGAAATTCTTYGGTTATTTTGTATTCCACACATACACTTTTAACTAAACACTCTCATATTTTAGTTTAAAACTGCTCCCCCATGTCCTATAACTATCTACCCATATAAAAAGTCCCTTTCCCTCTTTTTTAAGAACACCCATTTAGTACTTTGTTACTATAGTAAGTTAACAGACAGTGAGGCCGTGAGAATCACCTGATACGTTTAACAACACAAGTTAGTTGCAGAATTTGGGAAGAGYCAGAGAAATTTAGTACTATTTACTAGAAACATGCATGCAATAACAGACACTTCTCTAAATCCTCCRTAGTTATTTTTGCTTTATATAACTGTGATGGTCAGCCCATAAGTCAACAAGATTTGTAACAGTAACTGCAGGCTGTTTCGCCCATCTTCACTTGGCTGATCATATAATACAAAAACCCCTTTTTTCTCCAAAATATTTTATGCTTTCAAAATCAGCATCTGACTGCAAAAAAAGTTACAAAATCAGAGCCAGTTTCCGGGGTGAGAGCACTAATATGGAAATGTGGAATTTGGAAAAGCTAAGCAATCTGATCCATTTTTGGATGATGACTGTGATTTTTGGGTGCTGACCAGGACCTTCATGGCAGCACTAGGACTTTCTAAGAAGACACTTTCTGTGAAACGTTAGGGTGCTGCAAGGCCTTTGCCCCAAATTTGCTCCTTCATTTGCATCATTCTGGCCCTGCTGTGCAATAATCAGCTTCACAAGGCAAACAGAATTTCTGCAACAGCACCAAGCTCCAAGACAGAGGTGTTTTATATGAGGAGATTAGTGTCATTTTAATTAACTTGGGGAATTTACTTGAATAGAAGGCTGCTCTATGGAGGTTTTTAACTTTATTTAATCTTACAACAAACACCACGGTTATAAATTKGAACATCAAGAGCAGTTTATGGTTAAAATGGCAGAACTTTAATTACAACCTAAAGGGCAGCTGTCACTTGGCCGTAAACACTGCTGCCCCCTGCCTGGGGCACAAGACTGCACACACAGKAAGACCTGCATTTCTGCCTAAACAGCCAAGCTCCCTCAGGTACCAGAATCAATTCAATTTATTCGCACTGGGTTCTCCTCAAGCTATTCTACAAGCAAAGTGTCTTTCTTACTGCAATCCATGACTAAACTTCTAGGATACATGTTTGCTGTGGTAAAACGACATAAACATCATTTAATATGACATTAATTTATTTTACAGCTGTACTAATTTTAGAGAAACTTACACCATCAATTTTTTAAAAAAGTGTGTGCTTATGTCTAAAAATTTGTTCTTGCTTGCCACATTGAGAATTACTTGCACAAGATAAGAAAGATCTGTTTTGCTTTAGACAAAGATTGGCATGATAGCATTATGAGATCTGATGGCCTCTCCCTAACTACTACTACTACTGAAGGAATAGTTCATTAACAGTAATCACTAACATTCACATTGGGCGGGAGAGGGGGAGTCAAACCACTTGAAAAGCATTGGCAAAACAGGATTAGCCATGGTAAAAAGCTTAGAGATTCAAGTGTCTGGGATTAGGAGTTTCGTTGTTGCTGTTTTTAATTGTTATTTTATTCTGGTGAGGTATAAGTGAAAGGAAGAAATAGAGAAGACACAGTAGGGGAAAAGGTATTACTTGTCAGGGGACATAAGAAAAATTCTCTAAATCTGTCAATACAACAAAAAATTTCTCTAAATT